GACCTTGGGCAAGCCGTAGTTCTGATAAGAGCTGTTCTCTCAAGGACAGTTCTGTCAAGAGCTCTCTCAGCCCCACCTACCCCACAGGGTGTCTGTTGTGGGGAGGAGAAGGGAAAGGAGTTTGTAAGCCGCTCTGAGACACCTTTGGGTAGTGAAGGGCGGGATATAAATCCAATATCATCATCTTCTTCTTAAATGTGCACTGTTGGCGGTAAGCCACGGATGCTCTCCACTTCCCAGATGTTGGGGTGTGATAACGCCTGGATAATCCGCCCACCTTCCATGCCTCTCCCGCGGCAACTTTGCCGTGTGACCGGGGCCTCAGAGGGGCTTACAAACTCCTTTCCCTTCCCCTCCTCACAACAGACACCCTGGGATGTTAGGTGGGGCTGATAGAGCTCTGACAGAAACGGCTCATTTTCAAGGACAGCTCTTGTCAGAACTACGGCTTGCCCAAGGTCATCCAGCCAGGTGCGAGTGGAGGAGTGGGGAATGAAAACCCGGTTCTCCCAGATTAGAGTCCGCGCACTTAACCACGACACCAAACCTCCACTTCTTGAGGACCTGAGAGGGGCGTGAAGAGGACGGGAAGGGCCTCTATCTCAACCCAGTCCCCAACCCATGACTGCCTCTCATTTCCCACAACGGTCCATTCCTCAGGAAACCAACATCTCGGGAAAAGCTCACTAGACCGTCCTCTTTGGCTAGCGACACAGTCGTCACTGTGCCTCGGGACCAAGGGGGTAGGCCTCAGTCGTAGCTCCAAATGAACCGCTTGGCCTTCTCGGCCTAGATCCGCACAGCCGCTTGGCCGCGTGCTGGAACTTCCTCAGGGATAATCCGTAAGCCTGGAATTCGGGCTTCCTTCTCTTCCTGGTCTTCCGCACGTACTTGAGCTCACCAACCTGAATTTCATGAGCCTGCAGGCTGGAGCCCAGGGGCCATATCCCGCGACGGCAGGTACGGAGCCCCGCCCCACCTTTGGCAGGTACCAAAGACTCCTGTGGAGAGACCTGCTGGAAGACAGCGGTGTTCGTTCCCTTCGCGTTTCCTAGGAAAATGTTTGCAAAACTTCCGGTTTCCGTTTGATCCTTTTGCTTTGGTGTCAGCGTGTGCGTGACTCCGGACCTTTCTGTTAGGTTTTTAAATATTTTTTAATACTGATTTAAATTTTTTTATTTAGCATATTGTATGCGTCGAGGGTCCTGACCTGGATAGGCCGGGTTAGCCAGATCTCGGAAGTGAAACAGGGTCTGCCCTGGTTACTGTTTGAATGGGAGACCACCAAGTCCAGGGTTGCTACGCAGAGGTAGGCAATGGAAAACCACCTCTGCATGTCCCTTGCCTTGACCTGGGCAGCTCAGGTTAGTTCAGTCTCATCACATTTCAGAAACTAAGCAGGGTCAGCCCTGGTTAGTACTTGGACGGGAGACCACCAAGGAAGTCCAGGGTTGCTACGCAGAGGCAGGCAATGACAGGCCACCTCTGCATGTCTCTTGCCTTGACCTGGGCAGCTCAGGTTAGTTCAGTCTCATCACATTTCAGAAACTAAGCAGGGTCAGCCCATGTTACTACTTGGATGGGAGACAGTCCACCAAGCAAGTCCGGGGTCGCTACGCAGAGGCAGGCCATGGGAAACCACCTCTGAACATCTCTTGCCTTAAGAACCGCTGCCGTTATTTGGCTGTGACTTTATTGCACTTTCCACTTCCACCACACAGACTGATGCCCGAGGAGGGGAAAGGGTACATTCCCACAGACGTTCAAGTGTAGCCTGTCGAAAAGAAACTAGAGATGCAAAAAACACCCAAGAACCTTCTTTCCTCCACTAGGGGGCAGCACAGCACAGGAGTCGAAATCCGGCATTTTCGTTACGGTTCCCCTTGTTTTATTCCTGAACTAAAAATGTCTTTTCTCCAGACTTACGGATCCCGGCTTCTTTCTTGCCTTGTTTCCCTTTCGTTTTCCATAATGACCTGCTTTTCACACCATGTATGAAGATGCCTCTGTTTAAAACATGTTATAAACCTGTCTTTATTAGGGTGGCCAACTGCAAGTTGGGAGGTTTCTGTAGGTTTTGGGGAGGAGCTTGGGACGGTTGGGGTTTTGGGGAGGGGAGAAACCTCGGCGGAGTATAAGGCCATAGAATCCGCCCTCCAAAGCAGCCGTGTCCTTCACAGCAACTGATCTCTGTTCCGGGGATCAGTTGTCATTCTGGGATCTCTCCAGGCCACACCTGGAGGTTGGCAGCCCCAGATGTATACCCCCATACCTGGGCCGCAAAGCAGGCCCGTTCACCTTGCCCGCTGTCTGTGAACCACTTGTTTGCGGCAGAAATACCCACCTCCACTTCCACCCCAGTAGATGTCTTAGAAAAGAATCAATGTGTTCTGGAACAACGGAGGATTGATCTGGTTGGGCCTCAAGCCAAGAGTTCTGGGAATTGAACCCAGAACTCTTGGCTCGAGGCCCACCCAGCAGCAAACAGCTGAGTGTATCCAGACGCCTGTCTGTCCTCAAATGTGCAGCCAGCCCTCGCAGAAAGCAGGCCAAGGAGGAGAAGGAGAAGAAGAGGAGGAGGAGGAGATTGGATTTATACCCCGCCCTTCACTCGGAGTCTCAGAGGGGCTTACAAACTCCTTCCCCTTCCCCTCCCCACAACAGACGCCCTGTGAGGTAGGCGGGGCTGAGAGAGCTCTTCCCAGAACTGTCCTTGAGAGAACAGCTCTGACAGAACTATGGCTTGCCCAAGGTCATCCAGCAGCTGCATGTGGAGGCGTGGGGAATCAAACCCGGTTCTCCCAGATTAGAGTCCGCACACTTAACCACGACACCAAAACTGGCTATGAAGGCAACATGGGGATATTTTAATTCAGGGGAAGGGTGAATCTAATCCTGGTATCACCAGTCCTTTGGGATGCCAGATGTTTTTAGAAAGTGGGCGCGAGGCCAGGTAAGCCTTTTGCCCAGCAAGGCTTCTGATTTCTTGCAAGATTTGATTGGCCGTGCGGACCTTTCGAAAACATTGCTTTGGCCGCGGCTGCCGCCACAACACAAAGATCCGCACTGTGGGGCTGAAGTTAAGCTGTGTGGCAGCCATTTTGAGGCTGGCTTCGACTCCCGCGGCAGCCATTTTGTGACCGCCATTTTGCAGCTGCACCCACCACCCTGTGTCAGGATTCCAAAGGTGCCTGGTGGGCTCAAAAAGGTCAGGGACCCCTGATGTAGCCCCTTAAGTACAAGTTTCAGGACCGCGGTGGCTCAGTGGTTAAGACGCTGAGCTGCAGACCAGCAGTTCAAGACCCGAGTGCCGCTTGACGGAGTGAGCTCCCGTCTCTGGTCCCAGCTCCTGCCAGCCTAGCAGTTCGAAAGTAAGAAATTGCAAGTCGATAAACAGGTCCCGCTTCAATAGGAAGGGAACAGCGCTCCGTGCGCCTCGGCGTCCAGTCATGCCGGCCACACTACCACAGAAACGTCTTCGGACAGCGCTGGCTCTTCGGCTTGGAAACGGAGATGAGCACCGCAGCCCTAGAGTCAGATTCGACTGGCTTTCGAGCAAGGGAAACCTTTACCTTTACACAGTCACTGTGTTCCTTATTCTAGTGCATAGGATGTGGTACGTTTGACAGAATTCGGCTTCCTGAAAATCTTCGCTTCTAGGGTTCCCCCCCCCTTTTAAAAAAAGCGTTTCCCATCATGGCCGCCCACAAAGAATCCTGGGAATGGGGAAGACTCTTTAGCTACTTTGAGGGCCCGTGGGACAAGAAGGTGACACACTTTTGTTGTTGTTTGTGACAGACAGACTCCCTTAAACCCAGAGAGTTGATCCAGCTCCTGCTCTGAGCCCCACGGGCTGTTATTCGATCACATATTCTACTACCCATCTGGCGTGGGGGCCGTTGTGCCCAGAGACTCCCTCCTTGGCTAGTCAGGTCCTGTGTGGGAGCTCATCTTTGCAAAAAGACATAATGGCACACATTTCTCTGCTAAGCTTTAACAGCCTGGTAAGAGGAAGGCTCAGGGCAAGGGTCATGGTTGCCAGCTCCAGGCTGGGAAATTCCTGGAGATTTCGGGATGGAGCCAAGGAGGTCAGGATTTGGGGAGGGGAGGGACTTCCAAGCCAGCTTGGTGTAGTGGTTAACAGTGCGGACTCTAACCTGGGAGAACCGGGTTTGATTCCCCACTCCTCCTCATGCAGCTGCTGGATGACCTTGGGCAAGCCACAGTTCTGTCAGAGCTAGGTGATGAGCCGGCAGCCAGGAGCTGGAAGTGTGAAGGTTGCACAGGTGTGGGAGGGAGGAGCGGCGGCCGACCAGGACTCCTGGGTTCCCTCTTGCCAGTGGAGTCCAATTTCCTCCTCCCTGTCGACTATGTTTGTCACGAGTGCCTGCCTCAGTCCCTGGCTGGAATTCAAGCTGGTGACGCGTTCCGCACTGCTGGGCACTGAACAAAGCCTCGGCCTGATCGGTTTCATGGCTCATACGAGTCGCTAGTGGTGCCTCAGCCTCAGTCTGGGGAAGGGGCGTTCCTATATCTGCCTTCTAAGGTTGTACAAGGGGGCGGTCACAGCCGGC